GTGGCTGGAAACCCCTTAGCTGGAGTGCATGGAGTTCCCAGTCATGGGATCTTGCTTCTTAATGATGCAGGGGGAGCCTGGGTTCGGGCTCCCCCTGCACTGACAATAAGGTTTGATGCGATCTAATGCGCAAGCTCATAATCGCGCTGCCTGCCATGCATGTGTTGCATGGCAGGAGGCACAATTGTATGAATTGTGCATTAGATCCCATCACACCTTTACCTGCATATGTAGAGGGGCCCTGAAAGGATTGTAAGGCATTCCAGGATGCTGCAGCATCCTGGTTTACAATTACTGATTTAAGACTATGCTTAAAAAGTTAAACCCCAGACATTAGTGCTTTCCTGCATCAGGGAAACACACACATGGGAAATTCTGGGGGCGGGGTGTTATATGTGTGAAGGACTTCAGAAGAAACTTGCAGCTCACTTACAATATGCATTGCTGGCTATTGTTTGCAAATACAGCATTAAAAAAAGACAAAAAGAACCCTGCTTGCCAGAAGTCCTCCAATAACTCTGGAGCATGTATAATGCAGGAAAAGGAGAAAACATTTCAACTTCCAGCTTCTGTAAGTACATTTATGAAGCTGAAAAATGTTTCAAACCAAGATGCTCTGGCAAATGCCTGCAATTGTTTATTAACTGAATGCCAGATTTTCTGTTCAGCACAAAATAATTTGAGATAGGAGATCAATTTTGTATATGCAGAATACCAAAATATAAATAACTCTGTAGTTTAAATCCATCTTAAGCCCTTTGCTGTAAAGTTGCAAGGTTTCTGTCCATGTGGTCATTTAGCAGATGCTCAAACAAAAAATAAAACTTCACACAACAGAAAAGGACCTCAACACATTTTAGTTAGCTTTGGCATTTTCTACACTTCCAAAGCAGGTACACTTTTTCTTAAGAAGTGACAGGCAAGCAACATTAAGAACATTCAATATCTTTCTGGAACCTAAAACACTGTTATATTTTTTAACTGAACATCAAGCTACTGTAATTGCTTAAATATTAGTTAAATGTTGAAATGTAATATAGTTATTAGGTGCTAATGATCAGTAGGTTCAATTTATTGTTACAAATAAAAGCTAATATGTATAAGGAAAGTCAACAGCTATCAGGGCAACTTATAAGTCTGACCATCCAGTGAAAATATGCTAAATTTACAAAACAACTCCACAGAACAAGTCTGTAAGTACAGAATTGAATGTATTTAATATTAGCACAAGGGGTAAATATGAGGAGGGAAAAATTGCATTACTTCATATGATATACTAACTAGATTATAGCTTCCAGAATGTTTACTACTACTCCCAGACTTTAAATGTTTTAATGAAACACAAATGCTAGAAATATCTATAAAAATGATCCTTTCTTGGATTAATTTTTTTCTTTACATTTGCTGCATTGTTTTAGCCTGACAAAATTGGAAGGCCCTACAACTTTATTAAAGTTATTCTTAAAAGTGGGGTTTACTTGTCTTGTTATCCGTCTTGTGATGACATTTGGAACAGGTGCGAAAGAGAAATAAAAGGGTAGTATCAATAAACTGCAAGACCACTTTAAGAGTGGGTTAAACAGTAACAAAAACTGAACTCAGTGCAAATTATTTACAAACCTACCATTTTGTTTCAATGGTGCTGATGATGCAGGATTTCCAGAACTATTGATGCTAATACCTGGGATATAAATATAACTATTAGAGATAAATATAAGTTTTTGCTCTCTGTAATTCTTGATCAGCAACACTGCACTATGATAGACTCCCACTGATTTATACCCAGAAGAAGGGTGACTGTGCCTGAAAGCTTGCCAAGAAATTTTTTCCAGCTACTCAGTTGGTCTAATAAAAGATATCGCATCTACTCAAAGAACCTCAGCTAAATATTGGTATTCAAGTAGGTTTCTGTAAAGAAATAGATATCTTTGGAATTATTCATTTCAAGAAGATAGTGCTGAGACATGGAATAAAATATTTCAGACTTTTAAATGGAAGTAGTCATGGAGCTGTAATTATGACTAAGATCTATCTTTTTTTAACACATTTCATTTAATCTCCATCTGGAAAAGATTAGGCCAAGAAAACAGTTATTATATAATGCCCAGTGAAGTTATTGTAACTCTGTGCAAAACATTTGTGGCCTCAATCCTTTGCAGAGTCATAGCCTAGGCAGGTATGAGTGACCACGTGATAATGTCCTCTAGTTGCTGGTCCACACATACTCATAGGACACTTCTACCTTCTCAAGAAATTGAGTTCTTTAGCTCAGTTGTTGGCAGCCTTTTCTTTTTGTAGTGCTGAGGAAGCACAGTCTTTGTCCCATAAGTATGAGCATGCATGTGTATGCAAATACAAGACAGAGTTGTCTATACTGCCAGAAGGCATATATGATGTGTGCACATCAACTGTTGTATAAGGTTATTTTTTTATACTGAAGAATCTCAGTCACTCAGACTTCGCGTTACCTAGCTTAACAAAGATAGTGGGAACACCTAAATGCGAAGATACGACGCAGTACAACAGGGCAAGGCTGTTCAAGTAGTGGCTAGACTGCATGTAGCCCACAAGCGGTTAACTTGGCACCCGCCCCAAACTCCAAAGAGAGCTCCCCCGAGCTGCTGCTCCCCTCATAGTTGTCACAGCTGAGTGCTCTAGGCTCCCCCTCCCTTCTTTCCAAGGGGCAGTGCAGTGCAGCACAGTGTAGCCTGCAGTGCAGGGGGAGCCCTCAGTCAAGGAGTTATGTATGTAGGGGGAGCTCTTGGTGCAGTAGCTGGGAGGTCTGCCTACCCACACAGTGCTGGGAGATCTTGCAGCTTGGGAGGTGACAGGAGTCTATGACTCCTGCTGCTGTAGCTCCCAGCCCTAAGAAGTTGCACAGCCATGCATTACAAGACACTCATAACATTATTCTAACTCCCGGGACATTCTTTGGGTGTGCTTATACTGCTTCTGTGCTGATCCTGCTGCCAGGAAATAAGCCCTACCCACTCCTTCCTACTCTTTATAAATAGCAAAAGTAGTAAAATGGTGTTCAAGTTGTGAAGCCCCATCCAGCATATTTGCTGAAATGTTTATTGCTTTCAGGAGGAGGAATTTTTTGATTCATGATTATATTTTTATTTTAAAAAGGGGGAAATCCATATGTAAAAGCAATGCAAGTCAACTGCATACGGTACCTTAAAAGAATATCAAAGCAATCCGTTAGCCTGAGTGTTTACACTTTGCAGCAGAAAATATTCCGGATTTTAGTTAGCAAGTACAAAAATAATACTTTTTTGTGCTGACCTACAACATAGGCTTGACCAGTATCTTCAATGGATGATGAGTCTGATTCATTTTTCCTCCTTTCAAGACTTCTATTTAATCCTGCATGAGATTTGGAACTAAAGGGGAAGGGGAAAGAAAAGCAAAGGCGGTGAGAAGGGGGGAGGGAGAAAGGAGTTTCAACATAATAAAATAATGGTGTAAATACTAATATGGAATAAAAGAAAAGTGATGTTAAATGTAGATTTATTGCATAAAAATATATTTTTGGGAAGTAAAAGGCATTCTTACTTGTTCAGCTTTATTGCTCCTGATACTGATCCAGTATCAGATATTGGCGTCTGCTGGAAGACTCTTCCCAATAACATCTCTATTTGCTTTGGGGAGGAATCCATAGTAGCTATAACATTTTTTCGCTGGGGGAAGATAGAGACTTGGCTCTGACTCAGATCATGAAATGATTTGCTCATGGCTTTAGGTCTTTCCTCCCAGGAAGTTTTCTCATTTTTCTCTTTAGAACAGCCAGGAAGTGGTTGGAAAAGTGAGAGCTCAGAACAGGACAGTCTCTTCAGAATTTCAGCCTCAACTGACAAAGGTCGGACTGCCAGTCTGTTAATTGTACTGCCAGCCAGACTACCTGTACTGATTGCACGGCCCATATTGAACCCTTTAACAGACTCGGCATGAAGGTTCAGGCTCCTAAAAGAAGCTCTCTCTGCAAGAAATTAGTAATTTTGCATAGATTATAATACTACAATAGCTCTTTTAAAAATATAAAACACATTTATGTAATACTTTTATATCAGATATGCATTACAAGTTTTCATTACACATGAGGTATTTTAAGCTCAGTTGTTTAGCATATAGAAATGATTTAATCAAGATGCCATGGAATCTAGCTCAGATACCCCAGTCTGGATTTAACAGTATGCACACCTCAGACTTAGTCCCCAGGCTAGTCCAGAGCACAAACATCACACAAAATATTTCTTCTAATCAGTACTGTGATTCCCATTATTTGCTGGGACTAAACTGCAATGGTGCAAAAGAGACTGTTCCTCAACCACTTTTACAAAGTGAATGATATTCCATTCTATGTCAGGACAGTTCTAAGACTTGAGGAGACATTTTGTCTGTCAATGCTCACATTATACTATTAATTTCACTAAAAGACAGAGGCCCTGCATTAACATTAATGCACAAAACTGTTAATGCAGTGTTGGGTGAAAGCCCCTCAAAAGGCCCAGTAACCTCTGAAGACTTCTCCAAAGCTTCACTGAACACTTTTGGGCTGGAACACCTTTCCAGATCCTCCTACTCTCCTTCCCCACCTGCCTTTCAACTGTTCCTGAACTACCTCTCTGCTCAAGCTGGCCTCTCTTTCAATAGCCAAAACTACTTTCTGACCCTTTGGTTCTCCCTTTTAGCTTCTCCTGGATTCCTAATCTGTGCACTACTTGTGAAATTCCTGTTTCAGGGCCCATTTAGTTTGGCAGCCTTTCCTGCTGGACACTGAATGCCATTTCACTCAGGTATATTAGTTTGGGATTTCCTCAGTCAACAAAGTCTTTTGACATGAAACAGAATACAATTGACACTTGGAGCTTAAACAGAATAAACTCATTTGAACCCGTTAATAACCCTAATTTTAGTTCAGATATGCACGCATCTAATGCTCCTGCCTTTAAAATGCAAATTTGTATACTGCATATATATCCTCTGCACACAGACTGGAAAAGAGATGCTTACGAACAGAAAGAAACTTAGGTGTATCTATTCACCCCCTTACAACTTAACTGGACATCCACACTTTTTGGCTGTTCCAGTACATCTACTTACAGTTCAGTAGTTACAATTTAGAAGTCCACCTGGGAACAGTTTTCACAGTAGTGGCTGAGCTACTACAGTTATGTCCTGTACTTAGAGCAGGATATAACTGCTTTAGTAGTTCAATATTCTCCATAACAAATATACAGATTTTTAATAAATGATTTATCAAAGGCGCATTTGGCATTTTTTAAAGGCAACAAATGAATACCTGTTCTTGTCTTCCAGGTCTATTACCTGCTCCAGTCACCTTTTCTAGTACCTATTCCTTGTTATATGGCAGTATTTGAAGAAAAGTCCCAGCAGCTCCACAGTTCACATCATGTCTTTTCCTTCTGTTGAGACCCCTGCCAAGACTCTTAAATGCTTATAGGAGCGAGCATGCACACACACACACACACACACACACACTGTAATCAAGTCCTTCCCCTGTTTTGTTTTCCTTTTGGCTGAACATACACAAGTGCTTGAAGTCCTTCCTAATAAAACTGACTTAATCCTCAATTAATCCTTGCAAACTTTCAATGTGTTTCTTTGAGATTTTGAATATCCATTTCTAAACTTGGTATCCAGCTCCATACAGAATATTCCAAATGTGCTCTTAAGTTTGTAAGATAAAGTATCGAATGCATTGGTAAAAATAAGTTGAAATGTATTGGGAATCTCCTTTTAGACATGATGGACTGCATTTTTCAGAACTGGATTTTGGCATTATCCAAACACCAATTTATAACCTCCCTGTCACTGGTGTTTAAACTACACTGTTTAATGAAAGCAGCTAGTAGGGCTGTGCAAAGCTTTAGTCCCTGATTCAATTCGGCGGAGATTCGGCCCGATTTGGTGGCCTAATCTCTGACTCCGAATCAAATCAGAGGATCCTTTAATCTCCCTGAATCGAATCGGAACTCTTCGAATCGATTCAGAGAGATTCGGACATAGACACAGCTTTAAATGTTTTTTCCATATACCTCTAGGTAGCAGGTAGCAGGCAGCTTATGAATGCTGCGATGCTGGGGCGCATGCAGTGTCCCACAGAAGCGCAGGGTGTTCTCCAGCACACTTGGCAGTAGACCCGGAAGTAGACCAGAAGCACTTCACGTCCACTTCTGGGTCTGCCAGGGAGCACCCTGGGGTTCCCCCCACATCCCTCCGGCTCAGTGGCTGGTGCCTCCTGGGTCTGGGGGGGCACCTGGGGTCCCCCTGCGGCTGATCGCCAAGCTGGGGGGGTGTGGAGGGCCCCCCAGTGTGCTCCCCAGTGGGCCTGGAAGTGGACTAGAAGTACTTCCAGTCCACTTCCGGTTTTGCCACTGAGCATGTAGAGTGGTCCCACTCCTGTGGGACGCTTCATGCACCCCAGCATCCACAAGCCGCACTGGTGCCTTGAGGTATGTAGAAAAAACATTTAAAGCTGGGCCTATGTCTGAATCGCTGATTCTCTGAATCAGCATCGAATCTTTAGGTTCAGATTTAGCCAAATCAAATCGGGGACAGTGATCTGAAACAATGAATAGAATCACTATCCCTGATTTGGGCCAAATCTGAATTGAATAGGGCCTGCTTCGCACACTGCCAGCAGCTAGACAGATGGCTTACTAGAGACAGTTCATAACTTTTTTTGTTCATTTATACAATTTGAAAAAGATATAAAGTAATAACTCTCAAAATTGTAAACTTTCTATAAAAGTCAATCATTACTGGCTATTACCAATTTTTTCTCCCCCATGCTGCTGTATTTGGCACCTGTGTGTTATATCATGCTCCCATCAAAAGCTCTTTTGGGATAGCCACTTTCATTTTATGTTTGTACACAGCCAGTAATAATGAGCTGACTAGGGTATCTGAACACTACTGTAGTAGGAAGGTGTTAATAATAGAGCACTATCTTGTTTATCTGTTCTGCCATAGTTTCAATTTAATTGCATATTAGTAGTGCTCTACTTTTTCCCCAAAGACTATTTTTCTTACACCATTTTCTATTCCTGCTATAACAAATGTAGCTTGGCTAATCATTTTAAAGTAGCTGGCACAAAAAGAGAGTATACAGCTGTTCAAGGGGTTTCTTGCAAAAGAGAACTGTTTTTTCCACAAAAAGTTAGATCACTTCCTACCAAGAAGACCTCCTTCCTCCCACACTAACTTGAATGGCTGAATGCTTCTCTCAAGTGTTGAGGACACCACGAGTCACACAGTATCTTCTCAATCAGGAAAATTGGCAGGCTGTCAAGTCAGTGGGCTCTCCTAAGAGCCTGCGTACTTGTGTAGCTCTCCAGCCAGGGGGCATAAACACACACATGTTCCAGATCCTGGGCTATTTTCCTAGAACTAAGAATTTATGTGAACTTTTTACCACTAGAAATGAATACCTGTCCATGGCCTTTATTTAATTCTTGCTCAGAAATGATGAATGAACTCCAAGGCTTCTGAACTTAGAGAAGGCTGCTGTGCACACAAGCAAATGTAGCCTATTAGTTTCCAGACTCCCTTAACAAAACACAAGCTGTGTAAGTGTAACAGTTACTGAGTCTGGCAGGCCAAAAAAGCCCTGTATGCAAAACTTTACTTGCTTTTTAAGTATACACCAACACTGAGTTAGAAATATGGCATGAAAGCCTCAAGCCACTTGCTCCATTTCTTTATGCCAGGGGTTGACCACCAGGGGTACACATACCCCTGGGGGTACTTGGACTGGTCCTAGGGGGTACGCACGGGCAGGTGGGAATGGAGCGCTGCCGCCTCCCAGAAGTAGGGCCAGGGTGGGGTGAGGGCAGTGTTGCCCCTCTGCAGGGCAGGGAAGTTTGCACGCAGCGGCTGCCACTGCCACACACCAGCCTGGTGAGCTTCCCTGCCCACAGAGGGGCGCCACTGCCCAGTGACCTTCCCCACCCTGCCCTGCTCCTGGGAGGCTGCGGCACTCTGTTCCTGCCTCCTCACTCAGCGTCCTGCTGTGCACCATCTCCCCCAACCCCCGCCGCTTGGCTGCATACTCTTCCGCCTCCTGGCTGCACGCTACTCCCTTGCTCGGCATCTGGCTGTGCGCTACCCCCTGCACAACAACATGCCCCCATTGCTGAAGAATGTGTGTATCCAGAATTGGGCTCCTCAGTCACCTGAGGACCCATCAAGCCTGACGGATGTCATCCTCAACTCGGAGGGACTGCCAATCACCGCCCCCCACATCCCTGTTTATTGGCCGCCGGGGGTACTTAGATTAAAAAAGGTTGAAAACCTCTGCTTTATGCTAAAGAAGTGGTGCTCAACCTCCAGCCAGCAGGCCAGATCCAACCTGCAGGGCTCCCCACAGGTCCAGAAATTTGACAGTGAGTGAGTGGCAGCAATTAATATTGGGACCTCCACTGCCAGATTTCAAAGCTCTTCAGGCCTGCGGATGGGGCTTGGAGCTAGAGTTGGGGTTCTTTGCCGGGCCATCCCTGTGTGCCAGACTGGGTCATGGCCCAGCTGGCCCCACACACCAGATCAAGCCCTAGCCAGGCATGCTGGATTGTACCCAAGGACTGGATCTGCCTATGAACTGACCCTGAACCACTCCTCTGGCCTGCAGGGCTGAAGGGATTGGCACCGCTGGGATAAATGGTATGCAATGCTTGACAGAACAAATAGGCTGCAAAGTTGTTTTCCATTATAAAAAAATCAGCACCTACACTGTCAGGGAGCCAGCCTCCAAACCCAGCTATACTGGTAGAAATTTAGAGTGGCAGCAGTTGGAATGTGGACACATGGCTATGGAGGTAGGTCACTCAAAAACAAAGAAAGCACGAACAAAGTAAATTAAATAGTGCTTTGAGGATTGTGTAAAAGCCAGCCAAGTCAGTTGTGTTCCAGGTACGTGTCAAACTCAGCTATTTCAAAGCAGAGGGCACCATTCAAGCCAAATTAAGTCCCTAATCTAAGAAAAGGACTTGATTTGTTTTGCCTTACACACTCATTAAAATGATCTGTCCCCAACTCTCTAAAGCAACTGACTCACATCGATAATAAATTTGTTACTGCTATCAACTACATGTTTTACTTAACATAAAAATTAGATATTCCACAGCTTTCATAGCTGGTATCATGAATTGCTTCCTCTCCAGTTTGTATTGCATTGGACCACCTCTTTTATTTGCAAATGCACTCCATTCTATAGCAGCCATGAATCAATAAGTAAAATGGAGAAGTTGCAAAAGGAAAATATTTTCAGCTGTCTTTTATACAGATGTGACTGCTGGAAAAAAGAAGAACAAGCACCAGGTGACCAAGCAACTTTTCAGACAGCATTTAGAGACCTGCTAACCTAAAGAAAATCTACTAGAACCATCGTGCTCAACCTTTTGGCCCTGTGGGATAGATGGTGGTATGGGGCCCATCTGTGGGCTGAACTGGGTCCTGGGATTGAGTCCTGGTGGCCCAGCACTGCCCCTGCCCAGCCCTGTCTGCTGGGATCAGGAGCGAGATCCAACGCATGGGACCCAGGGCTCCCCATAGGTCCCAAGATTTGACAGCACCTCTCCCCCTACGCCAAATTTCTGGACTGTGGAGAGCCCTGTGGGCCAGATGACATAGTGCCATGGGCTGGATTTGGCCCATGGGCCAGAAGTTGAGAACCCCTATATTATAACAGTCACCTTCCACAGAGGTATGATCCACATTTCAGTGAAATTGTTACAGTACTCTGTGTAAAATTTGTTCATATAATAATACAACCATCTCCAGTCATTACCAATATCCTGAATATCTTGGTTGCTCTGTCTGGTTCTCATCTGTAGCTGGAACTTGTGCTGGGAAGAGCACAGGTGCAGGAGATACTGACAAGTCTTACTAGTGTCAGTTTGGAAAGCGTGCTTTATACCATCTGATGTGTTCTGTAGTGTTATTTTCTTTTTCTGCAAGAAAAAAGATAGGGAATAGTGATTTTTTTTAGCCTAAAATGAACATAACATTTCTGTGCACACAGATAGCAAGATATGCTGAATTTGCTAAAGCAAATCACATTTGCTGGATGAAGTTTGTTCAATATTTTGACAAACAAAAATAATTTTGATGTTATCCAGTGAAATAACAGGGAAAAAAAACAATTACATATCCCAGTCAACCTCTACTACTGCCTGCTGTTGGGTCACTAACAAACTAACAGAAACAGTCTGTACTTAGAGCCTGGGAATTTTAAAACTCTAAAGGGAATTATAAACCCAGCTGCTACTAAAAACCAATGGACCCTAGATACCCAATATATTATTTAGTTATGAAAGTGTTAATAAATTTTTGAGGTCTTTTCTTCACCTTCTTTTAAGTGTTCTTGACTAGAGCTAACCAACTCTAGGTAAAATCTAAGCAATGAAAAGGCAATTTATAGTTTTCACACTGATAAGCAGTTTGAGATGTGGGCTTTTTTTTGTTTATCAGTTGCTAAATTAACACCAGTACATTTCAAAATTGCCAAGCAATTCTGCAAGAAAGGGATAGAAATCCGTCATCCTTTGTTTATACTGAGTTTGGTGCCTCTGCAGTTTACAGGCTGTACCAATACAACACTTTAAAACATCAAAGCCCGTGGTTTTACTCCTTGGAAAGAGGACTTCAGCCATACTAAAAGGTATTCACAGATCACACTGGAAAATGCTAATTTCCCAAATGCCAAAAAAAATTAAAACAAGACCGAAAACTATATATACAGACATACACTAAAGGATATTTTCTTTGTTTCTCTCCAGGGGAAACGAAGAACTGGTGTCCGGACTCCATTGTGAACTTGAAAAATAATGACTCCCTTGGAACACACTCCCAGTAAGATTCCAGTCTGGGATTTCTTCTCAGGCAATACACGATGCAAATGGACTCCATATTCTGTCAGCCGCTGGCATATCTATATAAAACAATATAATGGTACATATGTGAGAATATCAGATTAATGATACTAGAAGAATCCAAAACGGTAATGCCAGCTAAAGATATATCATATGGTCATGTTTTATAGCTGTGCTTCTCAAACTATCTGATGTGGTGGACCGGCAATTTTGTTTGCAGTGGGCCAGGGACCGGTGGCAGCAACTGCGTGTAACAGCACTACACAAATACGTGACCAGCTGTTTCTTTCTCTTTCCTCACCTCGCACGACATGATGTCACCTGGAGTGTTGGAACGTACGAACTGTGGCGCTATGACATATCAATGTTATGCTTCTGAAAATATATTTCTTTCTTTCCTGGCAACTTGCTGTGGACTAGCAACCGGTGGTCTGCGGACCACCACTTTGAGAAGCACTGTTTTATAGTATGGTACCATTTACCATACCATAAAATTTCAGTTTTTATAGCTGTTTTATAGATGAGTGTATCGTTTGCTACAAACAAATGCACATATCAGTAGAAAGTGTTATAGAATATTATAGGCCATGGTTAT